CATGCTGATTCCCAGGTCCCACCCCTAAGGCTCTCCCCACATCAGACTCTAGGGGTGGGGCCTGGGAATCTGCCTTTATAATAGACTTCCTAGGTGATTTTATGCTGACTAAATTATGAGACCCAGAGGTCTAGTGAATCCAGTCCCCTTATTTTTATTTACATGCCATTTCCTTTTGAATTCTTTGGCCTTGTGTAGCTTCTCCTGCTTTAAGTTCTTTATTCTCTAGTGTCCTCTTGGAGTATTATTACTTGTGGCATGTCAGTCTTCCTCCAGGAAGCTCCTTGAGGGTGGGCCATATCTCTTTCAGCTTTGCATCCCTGGTACCTGGTACAGTGCCTGAATAAAGGAATAAACTAGCCTCGTTGCCGAGGGAGCTGTTACTTGACTAACAGCTGTGGCGGCAAAGCCAGCACTAGAGCCCGGCTCTCCTGACTCGTCCTTAGTTTACAGTTTCTACATGGAGGTGCTGCTCCCACCCAGACTAATTTAATTGAGTGAGCTTTTGTCAGTCTATTTACTAGTTTGCCTCTTTTTTTAAAAAAAACTTCTCTGAATTGTGTTTGCATGATAAATATAATGCTGTACTCTTCTGATAGTCTTTTATCCAACAAAACAACAGTGTTTTAAAAAGAAGGGGAAATATATGTACATATATGGGTACAAGGCTCATTAGCATTGCCTAGCCTGTCCCTTGGAATATTCCAGAATTCCAGGTGCTGTTCCATTTATCATCAAGGCCACACATATGGAGGCTCAGATCTTGACAATGCAGGATGAAGAAGCATAATTCATAACACTTTTTAGTCCAGAGGTTCCCAAACTTTTTATTCTTACAAATGGCCTTTATTGTTTTTGTCTCATTGGACTTCATGGTTTAAGATATGTTGGCTACCAAATGTAGCAAATATCCCATCAGAAGAGGGAGCAGAGAATAGGGAAACTGCCATTTCCTGGGCATCACTGGGGAGCTGGTCCCCATGCTAGCGTTCTTTGTCTCGCTTGTCCTCTTCACCACGCTATGCTGGAAGGTCTTCAGAGCCTTGAATTGCATACAAGGAAACTAAAGTCACAGAGCAAGTGAGAGCAGAGGCAGGATTTGGTCCTGGGCTTTCCAGCAGGACGTGGTAACTTCAGAACTTCTGAAGTACACACGGAGATGATGTGATTACACCTTCTATCAAAGCAACTGTGAAATGTTCAAGCATTCAGTTCTCAGTAGCTTCAACCCTCTACACCTGCTCTACAGTTTGTATTTTGATACCACTGCATAGAGACCTTAAAGAAAGTCCCTCAGACTCCATCCTCAAGACCTCCCTGTTGACATTGTCAAAGGATCAACTCCAAATTAGCCTTTTTTTCAGCAGGACAATGCATCATTTTGGTTTGATTTGTAGAATTGCTTCCTAAGACCCCAGAAGAGAAATATGGAAGAAGAAAGCTCTCAGTAGCCACAGGTTATATGATTGGATTCCCTTAGTGGGTCCACAGTTTCTGCACAGTACTGAAGGGTCTTGAAAGGCGCCATGCTCCAAGCACTGAGTCAGTCCCCAAGGAAAACTGTTTCTGAGGAGTTAAGGCTCCAGGGCTTTCCAGAACTGAACTTGATCATGGTGATCTAGGTGGGGATGCTGCAGCCTAGGCAAGCTCAGGACAAGCATCAGGAGAGTGTATCTCGAGCTGTGAGTCTAGCAACAAAGCATCACTTGGCTGTGCAAGACTTTGGCTGCCTTGCCTGAAAGGTTACCAGCTGGGAGGTTGTTGCTTATGAAAGATGGTCTTGTTGGTCCTTTCCTACCCTTTTTCCTGCTCATGTGTCTTTGTCTCTCCCTACATTGTCTTTCTCTGTCTCCATCTCTCACCCAGAGCCCCAGACTGCAGACTGGAGTGGCTGCAGACTTATTATAGCATCAAAGAATCTCTGCTGGGTTGTTTTCTTGAAAAATTTATTAGTTAAAATGGTCATTTTATCTTCTTCATATCAAAACGTAGGCGAATAGAATATATAGTTATTTAGATTGAAAAAAAAATTACGATCAGTTGTAGGATGGGGGGGCGGGAATTTCTTATCCTCGGCCTAGGTGAATATTTGGTTTTATTTTTAAATATAGGAAGGAAAAGAAAAGGTATTTGGCCTAGTCATAGCATGTATAATGTTAGTACCCATTTTCCCTTACTTGAATTCTGTGCTAAAGGGTCTCTTTAGGAGTACCCGTGCTATTTTAGGTTTTTGCAAAATTACTTTATAGGGTCTTTGCTTATTTAAATCTGTAAAAGGTGATTGTTGGAAGTTTGCCAGCGAACTCATGTTTCCATAGCAAGAGAGCTGGATTCACGTAGTCTTAGAACTGTAACCAGTTTTACTTTACGCAGACCCCTAAGTCTAAAAAGCAAATACAGGTAGTTCCCAACTTACGATGGAGTTGCATTCTGATGACTCTGTCTTAAGTTGGTTCTGACCTAAGTCGAATCTCTTTTTTTTTTTTTCAAAGTTTTCATTATTATTGCCTTTTATTATCAGTATCTTTATAAGTCCGATCTTTGAACATCTGCAAGTGAACACCTGAGAATGTAACATCAGCAAATCATGTGCTGCAACATAGTATGTAGTACATATTACTAACAGTAAGATATACCAATTAAAAAAAAAACGAAAACAGATGGTTGTAAGTGCAGTTTGCCATAACTTGAATATAAGCTGGGCACTACTTGTACAGGAAAAGTTTTTAAAACCAGTCAAACTTACAGAGAACTGTTTTAATTAAAAGCTAAGGGCTTTTCTGAAATTTTTAAAAATACTCTTCCACATTCTCTAGTCCCAACACATAGTGTCTCTTGAGGACAATTTCTGATTTCAGATTCTGTCAGATACCCCCTCCTTTTGTTAAATTTTTTAAAATTTTTATTTCTCTGGACATAGTTATCTCAAGAGTCTTCCTAATTCATCATCTTTTATCTTTTTTCAAAGTTCAACTTCAATGAAACAGTTATTGCTTATATATAAACAATGATGACAATTTGGGGCCAAATAGGATTCTTTTGATTTTTAAAATAAAATTCTACCTTGAAGTTTTATTTTATATTTGGTATTTCAAGTACATATCATTGTACTTATCAGTACTCCTATGATGGTGATTGTACACCTTTTTTGGCCATTGGCCCCTTTGAGAATATGAGGAAAGTTGTGGACCTTCTCCCCAGGAAAACTCACATGTGCACAAAACACTGCACCCCATTTCACGCTACCCACAGATCCCCTCAGCTAACAGGTTAAGACTCTCCTATGTTATTGACATAATGTCAATAGATGGATTGACCCAGTGGCTGCAACAATGGGCTCAAACAGCAACGATTGTGAGGATGGTGCAGGAGCGGGCAGTGTTTCATTCTTTGTACCCAGGGTTGCTATGAGTTGGAACCGACTCGATGGCATCTAACAACAACAGCAGCAGCGTTACTGATTTTCTCCTCAGGAAGGACTGAACTTGCTTTTGTGGGTAGAGTAAAGAAAGGTAGGGGGTTGGGACAGCATTCTTGCTCCTTTATTTAATAAGAGAAAATGTTATTTTTTAAATAAATACAGTGGTCTGAGTTCTTTTTTATTTCGAAAAACTGTAGTTCAGGTGCCTAGTAGCAAAAAGAAGGCAACAATGACACCAACTGTGCAGTCATGATGACGGATCTACATTTACCTTCACTTTGCCCCCATAATGTCCTTCAGAGTTAAATGCATCTTTCAACGTGTGGGACTTTGAACTTAGCATTTTCTGCTTTTAGTGGTTTTAAAAATCATGTTAATTATGTGAGCAAAAGTTATGGGTCAATAGTCCCTTCTCATTTTTAAAAGAACATTAGTTGAAAATTTTCCATTGTTAATTTATTACCCAAGGAAAGAGATTTGCCTGCCAGGTCAGTGGAACACATTCATAAAGGTGCCCCTGGGTTCTATTAGCCTCACGTAATGCCCCCAATCTTAAGTGTAAAATATTGGAATATTCACTCAGCATAGTAGAAAGAAAAATGTTTCCTTGTTGTCTGAGGTGAATGGAAGGAGTTGTTTAAATTCAAAGAACCATTATGCAAGTTCTCCCAACAAGTTAAGGTTTCATGCTTGGTGCTCTACTTGGCTTTAGAAAATCATTTCATGATCAGATATTGATTTGTAAAGAGACGTGTGTGGCATGAAGTAGAGCTTTTTATAAATTGAAGGAATTCACATAAGGTTGTTTAGAGCTAGTTAGCTTCAGTCTCAGCAAGGTGTCGATATGCGTCTGTGTTCCCAGCTGCCACTGGTCCTCTTACCCTTTCATTGTCCTTTTTCGTTTTATGTGAAAATAATTTGACTCCGGCTTTTTATGCTGCTAACCAAAAAAAAGTTGGCAGTTCGAATCCACCAGGTGCTCCTTGGAAACTCTATGGGGCAGTTCTACTCTGTCCTATAGGGTCACTATGAGTCAGAATCAACTCAACAGCAATGGGTTTGGTTTTGGTTTTGTATGCCCTTAGTCATGGATACTCCCTCCCGTTTTCCAAACCAGCACCTTGAGAAATATCATCCCTGATTTCACTCCCACCTAGAGAAAACAATTATTTGGTTAATAGGGGAAAAAAAAAGTTAATGTGGAATTAGGTGTGCTAGGCATTCAATGCTTGGAAGCATTTTGTTTGCTTTTAAGACCACATTTAGAAAATAACTTTACTGTCTGTTTCTAATACATACGGGCTTTTCCTTGTTCAGTCATTTGTTTTGGTAAGTAATTATAGTGCCATCCCTTTCCCCTCATTCTCTTCTTCAGATGACAGTCTAGACCTACACTAGAATAAGCTAATGAGTTACTTTTAGAGTTAATTTGTTCCCTAACCCATCGTGTGAATATCAATGCTAACAACAGTGTCTTGTGTTTTTGTTTTTTTTTCCTTTTATTTCCTTTTCTTCTTCTTCTTTTTTTTTTTTTTTTAAATCAATGTGCTTTTTCCTGTGTGAATAATTATATGTCTAGAAACAGCCATGGAGTGATTTTGCTGTTCTGAATGGGGGAAAGATTAATAGTGACATTTGGAAGGCAAGTATCTTGTCAGATTTTAGATCATTTAATTTTGTTTTGTTTTGTTTTTTTTCCTTTTTGCATGGCTATGGCTGTATATTTTTCTTCATGAATATGCTGCAGGGACGGAGTGAGGGGCTTCTTGCTAGGGATGGCCAGCTCACATACATGTTGCCTTTTTTCCTGTCTCCCATTGTGAATGACTTGCAGCTGGCCGCCTCAGGTTACCTGTTGCGTTGTAAGAACAAGGCACTTGCACTGAGTCAGCACCCAGCAGCCCTTGCATGCTTCTTTCTGCCTCACCTGACACACACTCTGTGCCTCTTAGCCCGGAGGGCTTGTCTCCCCTTTGATGTTGGAGGGCATGCCATGGAGCCCTCCTCCAGTCTGCGTTAACCGGCATCTGTTTTCCTCTAGGATTTGCATGCAGCAACTGTTAACCCAGACCCCAGTTTGAAAGAGTTTGAAGGAGCAACACTACGCTACGCATCTTTGAAACTCAGGTAGGACAGTGGGAGGGTCTGCCATTAATGTGTGGCTTTGTGCAGCTACAGCTTGTACCCCAGTTCTAAGTCCAATTCTGTGTTTTTCTTTATAGAAATGTGCCTCATGCCGACGATGACGATTCTTGTAGTATCAACAGTGACCCAGAAGCCAAGGTTTGTAAGAAGCGTACTTTCAGTACCCAGGTTATGTTCTTGCATCCAAGTAATCGCTTGTGATGATGACCCAGCCAACCACTAGCCAACCAACCAATAGTTAATCGTCTCTCAATTCTCTTCTATTTCCTAACCTCCCCCACACTTGAGGCAAAGCTCTGGGTCAAGTTAGGTTTGGGGGGATTTCTATAACCATCAAGACTGCCTGTATCTTACTACATCAGATTTTTGCACAATGTAAGAAAGTAATGTTTATTGTTCACACAGGAGGGCTTCAGAAGCCTTTAGAGATGAACCAGGCTCTGCCTTGAAGAGCAACAGGAGGGGTGGTTGACCAGGCAGGTACAAGACCCTTCACATCCCCCCTCCTCCAGGGTAGCTTCATACCTGTAGCAAGGTGAAACTGCTTTGCCATTCCAGCCATGAGCACAGGTTGAAGGCATGTGTTTTATGATGGAAAGTGAGGAGAAACTCGTGTCTGTTTTGCTTCTGGACTCCTGAGGGAGCACCGCCAGGGCCAGCGTATGGGTGTGTGACCAGTGCAGTTAACAGAGGCCCCACGCTGAGAAGGTCCCTGTGCGTGGGGTTTAATGCTGTTCAATTAATGCTGTTAATGCTGTTGAAGTTCTTCCTAATGTTATCTTTGCATTTGTGTTTTGTAAGTGAAGTGTTCTATGAGTCAGAATCGACTCAATGGCAACAGGTTTAAGTGAAATCCGATTGACAGTGGGGCCTGCCCTGAGATTTGAGCCTTGGTTCACTTGGTTCACGCATGGTCCTACCACCTCCTGACACCCCAGGACAGGTTCTTGGGTACCTGCCTCCCTGCCCCCTGGTGCCCTGGGCCCTGCCAGACCTCCCTATCCCTGTTCCCACCCTGTGACTACTGCTGCCCTCTGCCACAGCAGGTGCCTGAGCATGGGATGGGGAGGGTTTGTGTCAGGTGTGCATGCCCCATGGTGCCTCAGGACGGGGCATGGTGGTGGCTGGCCCAGCCCAGGCTGGCAGCACCACAGTGTGTTCAGCAGACATCTTAGCAAGGGTGAGCCTCTTGCCTGTTCCCAATCCAGGTACCTAGAGTGTCCTGGTACAGAGGTTGCAGTACACTTGGGCCACCTGTCTGCCATGGGTTGGAGTGGTGGGCCCGTAGCAAGGGGGACTCCTGGCTTGATTTCCCCACACCCAGCCAGGGCATGGTGTGTCAGTCTGAGGCTGGCAGGAGGGGGAAACCAGAAGCTGATGGTCTGCACATATGTACTGAGTCATGGGCAGGGCCCCCAAGTACCTCTTAGGGTCTGTGCTCATCCTGCATGTATCCGCATGCCCAAGGGAATACAACATTAAGTAGCAATTTAAAAACACCCTAACCAGTTGAGCGGGAGACTGCAGAAGAATGGAGAAAACTTTATGGTTTAGTACCTTTGACTGCACTTTTTTCCAGTTCAAACATAGGGCCCTACGTTTTCATTTTGCCCTGATCCTCGCAAATTATGTAGCTGGCTCTGGGTACCAGCCACCACGAGATGCCATTATGTGCACCTCAACCCTTTTCCCTCCCCTTCTCTTTACCTCCTGTGTCATGGAGAGGCAAGGAAAACTTCCAGATCCTTTTTTATCTTCTCTGCATTCCAAAGCAGGCCTGTCTCTACAAATAAAATAGCAAATAGGTTCCCTTAGCAGTAGTTAAGTGGGAAACACCACGCAGGTTCAAAACCTTGACTCCTTTGCCTGCAACTTTCTTATCTATTGCCAGTTGGTTCTGTAAGAATCACAGGGCTTCCAGTGAAATCTCCGCTCCTCATAGTGTATTCTGCTTAATTCTGAGCACAGCCTGATAGGAGGACAACCGCTCCAGAGCATTTTAAACAAGTCTTTGGGCTGCTGTTAACATGCTCGACCTTTAAAGATAAATTTTATGGCAAGAGATGGATGCAGTAAAACAGGAAGGCGGGCTGTGAGTAATTTGCTGTGCTACCGGGTATTTGACAAGGGCTGTCAGCAAAGGCTGGAGGAGTGAGGAGAGTAACATCGGTATCTGTCCCCACCACCAAGGGCTGGAGCACTGATATCTGGGACGCCAGGGTGTGAAATGGACGGGAGTGGGTGGGGCAGATGCTGCATAGAATGGAGATAGAATTGGTAACAGGAATAGGAGGAATGGTTGAAATATTACCGCAGTCTGTGGGTCAGGCTTTCTCCTTTTTTCTCCCCAGTTGTGTTGTTGCTGAATGCTTTATCTGCCACCCACCACCTGTCTGTTGCCAGTCTCTATCGCAAAACCTATTATGAGTATGTTCCTTGTAATAAGTGGGAGTGTATTGAAGACTGCAAGAGTGTTGAGAGGGGGAAAGGGTTTCAGAACACTGGTCTATATGAATCACTCAGTGCATAAGACATAATTACCCCCATTCCTTACGGAATGTAAGGTATTTCTAGTGCTTTGTCTAAAATAATTATAATAATCTTTACTGAGTGCTAACTTTTTACCAGGCAGTGTTCCAAAGGCTTTATTTATGTTGACCTTCATCCTCACAAACATCCTGTAGACTAAGTATTATCTCCATATTGAAGATGAGGAAACTAAGGCCTTGGAAAGTTAAACAGCTAATAAGCAGTAGCGTCGGGATTTGAACCCAGGTTATTGGCTCTAGAGCCCATGCTTACTAGACTGCCTCTCTAAAAGAAGGCTCTCACTTAGAGCTTCATTTAGGGGCCACTGCCAAATGATGTGGTCAGTGTCCCAACAATATTCCAAATATGTATTGTTGTTGTTAGTTGCTGTTGAGTTGAATCTGACTCATGGCAACCTTAAGTGTAACAGAATGAAACATTGTCCCATCCTGCGCCATCTTCATGATCATTGGTATGTCTGAGTCCATTATTGCAGCTACTGTGTCAGTGCATCTCATTGAGGATTTCCCTCATTTTCACTGACCCTTCTACTTCACCAAACATGATGTCCTTTTCTAAGGATTGGTCTTCCCTGATGACGTGTCCACAGTAAGTGAGCCAAAGTCTTACTTCTAAGGAGCATTCTGGTTGTATTACTTCTAAGACTGATTTTTTTGTTTTTCATAGGTATATATAAAATGGGACTTTTCAAGTTTATATTTCATAGCATTACTTATTAGAAACAAGGGGTAGACACCCAAGCAAAGCTCATTTCTAGTAAACTGGTGGAGGACTATGACAGTATGGTCCAGGTTTCAGCTTTCTGCTCTGACTTGAAGCTGGAATAAAGTCCAGGCTCTAGAAGTGGAATGGATGAGTTACGGGTTTTTCCAGACCATCCCTCATTAGTGTAATTTTAAGTAGGCTTATGATACAAGTTGGGCCTGGGATGGGAGGAAACAGGGTCTGGAAATGAGGTAATCTGCCTTGCTGGGATGGTCGCTCCACACGTTAGATCCACCAGCCAAGCTAATGGCAGGTTGACGTCCCTTTGTGGAGTTTGAGGAGTCTTGCTGTGCTTCTCCTCTGGATACATGGTTACCCCACCTCCCAATGGAAGTGGGCCAGGCAAACCCTGCGGGCAAGGCCAAGATGTTCTTTCAGAATTAAAACATAGTTCAAAATCCGGCAGCCCTAAATTGGAACCCTTGTTCATTGCTGGTGGGAATGTAAAATGATGCAGCTACTGTGGAAGACAATTTGGGAGTTCCTTAAAAAGTCAAACATAGAATTACCGTATGACCCCACACTTCCACTCCTAGGTGTATACCCAAAAGAAGTGAAAGTAGGAATTCAAACAAATGCTTGTATACCGATGTTCATTACATCACTGCTCACAATAGCCAAGAGGGGCAACAGCCTAAGTGTCCGTCGACAGATGAACGGATAAGTAAAATGTGGTATATATGTACAATGGAATATTATTCAGCCATAAAGAGAAGTAAAATTCTGATACATGCTATGACATGAATGAACTGGAGAAACATTATGCTGAGTGAAATAAGTCAGACACCAAAAGACAACTAAATTGTGTGTTCCCATTTATATGAAGTATCTACAATAGGCAAATGCATAGAGATGGAAGTTTATTAGTGGTTACCAGAGCTAGCGAGGGGGTGGGGATTGGATGGGAAGCTATTGCTTAAGGGGTACTGCATCTCTGTCTGAGGCGATGAAAAACTTTTGGAAATAGACAGTGGTAATGGTTGCACGACATGGTGAATGTAATTAATGTCACTGAATTTTGCAGTGGTTAAAATAGCAAATTTTATGTTATATGTATTTTACCACCCTGAAAAAGAAAAACAATCCATAAATGTACAAAGCAACATTTTAAAAATGCTAGCAACATTGTATCAGATTTTTGCCCTTTACCTTTAGAGAGCAATTATTTCATTTTATTGTATGAAACAACAATTTGGCTGGACATCTTTAGGTGGAAACATCTTTCTGCCCAAAAACATCACTGCAAAGATACCTTCACTGTTGTCCATAATAATATTATTCATAAAATATTGGTTTTTTTTTTCAATCCAACAGCCCTAGATGAAATTATTTTTTAAAAATTTTTGTAGTGAGTTTAGTACTCACTTTAATGAAGCACTTCTGGGCAACCAAGAAGGAAAGCAGCCACCCTCCCCATTCTTGCCTGTTTAATGCCACCCAGGGCCCAGAGCCAGCCAGCGTCCAAGAGGGGGAGGTGGCAAGGCCTTGATATTCCGGGATGCTTACTTCTCTGTAGAAGCAAGTTACACTCTCCCAGACTGCCAAAGACTAGTGAACTGAGTGCCCCCCAAATAGGTAAAAAGTATTCTTTATTTAAAAAAAAAAAAAAATTTAGTTTATGTACTATAGAATTTAAATATAGTCCTTGAGGAATGATTACTAAAAAGGTTATTAGAGAAAATTTCTTCTTACTCCCCTAGTAAAACATACATGCCGAAAGAATAAAAATCATGTTTAGAATATCAGGATATGGATGCTTCCGTAGCCTACCCAACCATTCTGAATTTGGGCAGCTTGATAATTAGGTGTTCAGTGAAATCTCT